CACTGAGCCACCCAGGCATCCCTCATACTAATTTTTTTTTAGTGCAAACAAGAAAGGATTTATTAATTTTTCATAATGGGGGAATTGGAGATATAAATTTCTATCTCTCTGTATCATTTAAGAGTTATAGTAATAGGCTAGATGCCATGGATTAACCATGTTTTTGGACTGTTTTATATAATCTGCATATAATTTTCACGCCGAAGTTTGACTCTGAAGGCCAAGCTCTATATGCTTCTTTGAATACTTGCACTTACAGAAAACTACATTTATAAAATTAACATGTCTGTGGTATCACAGAGATTGTACCTTTTGAACTATTTAATAAGCTCTTAGCAGATTTCTTGTTAAGCCTATGTAATTTTTAATGAGACAAAAAATTAGATATGATAAATGTTTTAGTTTCACTCATTAAAGCCAAACTGATTTAAGGAAATTCTTTTTTTTTTTTTTTTTTGTTATTGTTGTAAGATTTTATTTTTTTGAGAGACAGAGAATACATTTGATGAGGGGCACTGGAGGGAGACAGAGAAGCAGACTGCCTGCAGAGCCAGGAACCTGATACCGGGCTCATCCCAGAAGCCTGGGATCATGACCTGAGCCCAAGACAGACACTTAACTCACTGAGCCCCCCCTCCGGCACCCCTAAGGAAATTATTATTTAAGTGGCTTGACATACTGTGTGAAATGTGTAGGCTCATTTATTATTGGTGAAGTATGATCAGAAATTTACATTTTAACTTTGAATTATTTAATCCAAAAGGACAGAGAAATTTACTTCAATAGTAGGTATTTTACCTGTTAATTGAGAAATAGAGCTAAAGTACTAAAGAAATAATAAAGAGCTTATACCATTTATATTTTTAATTAAAATGAGACCCAGACAAGGGCACCAAAATAAAAAAGAAACTATTGGGACTACATCAAAATAAAAAGCTTCTGCACAACAAAGGAAACAATCATCAAAACTAAAAGACACCCTATGACAGAATGGGAGAAGATATTTGCAAATGACATATCTGATAAAGGTTTAATGTCCAAAATGTATAAAGAGCTTATAAAACAAAACAAAACAAAATCCAATTAATAATGGGTAGAAGACACGAATATACTTTCTGATGAAGACCTACGGATAGCCAACAGACACATGAAAAGATGCTCATTATCACTTATCAGGGAAATACAAATAAAAATTATAATGAAATATCACCACACTCCCATCAGATTGGTTTAAATCAACAACACAAGAAATAACAGGTGTTGGCAAGGATGTGGAGAAAGGGATACCTTCTTACACTGTTGGTGGGAATGCAAACTGGTGCAGCCACTGTGGAAAACAGTATGGAGGTTCCTCAAAAAGGTGAAAATAGAACTCCCCTCCAGTTGGGCAATTGCAGTACTAGGTATTTATTTACCCACAGAATGCAAAAATACTAATTCAAAGGGTTAATTTAAAGGGATACATTATAGCAGCATTATATATGATAGCCAAATTATGGAAATATCCCTGTGTGCATAGATTGATGAATGGAAAAAAGAAAAGTGCTGTATGTATCTATAATAGAATATTACTCAGGCATAAAAAATGAATGAAAAATCTTGCCATTTGTAAAGACATGTCCGTCAATGTTAGAGAGTATTATGTTGAGGAAAATAAGTCAGGGAAAGACAAATATTGTATGATTTTATTCATATGTGGAATTTAGGAAGTAAAACAAATAAGCAAAGGGAAGAAAAGCAGAGAAGGAGGCAAACCAAGAAACAGACTCTTAACCATAGAGAACAAAATGCTGGTTTCCAGAAGGGAGGTGGGTGAAAGATGTGATGGGGATTAAGGAGGGCACTTGTGATGACCATGGGGTGATATGTGGAATTGTTGAAGCACTATGTTGTACACCTGAAACTACTATTACATTGTATGTTAACTAACTGGGATTTAAATAAAAATAAGTAAATAAACTGAAGCCCAGAATGTCTTGCATGTCGTATTAACCAAAGGCATTTGAAAAATGCAGTGAAACAAACTTTTATTGATATTTTTTGTTTGTCAATATCTGTGCTAAGTCCTTTTATAATACAAATGATTCCATTTAATCAGCAGTGTGCCTTGAATTATCACACACAATCATCTTCAGCTAGTAATTTTTGAACTTCTGCCATGAGAGAGACACTCTATTAGGAGATATAGCATATAAAGTGACTTAATCTCAGGAGTTAGAGCCTAATTACTCAATAAGGCATAAACATAAAACAATAGAGATAGCATGTAAATGCCAAAAGAGGAGTATAAACCATAACTGCTCAGGATATTCAAAGCAAGATAATAATTGTTATAAAATTATTATAAACCCATTATTGTTTATTTTCATCTAGCACAGGTCAGGATCTAAAAGATAGTTCTGGAGAGCAGGAAAGGTAAGAAAAGGTCTAGTATGTTAGGTGTTTCCAGTTGTATATTAATTCTAAATACTGAACTCCAATGCAGTAGTTGACTTGTCAGTAGTTTAAATGAAATAATTTTACTTTTTAATTTGGTTTTGTAAAGCATGTGTAAACCATCCATTAACAGAACAAACTGTTGCCCAATTTTATAGTTACTTGAAATACAAAATCAAACATTTGTTAACTAGAATGAGTCACATTGTAAAACAAAGGTTGAAGAACAAATCATTTTATTTTCTACAATGCAGTTAATCTAAAAATAACATTAGGAATAATTACGAAAAATTGAATTATTATGTTCTTGAAGCCTTTTGAAATAATTATGTAAGACTTCTAAAATTCAGAGCAACATTGTAATTATCATAGAATGTATAAGAAAGATCATGTATTTTGCAAATATCTGTGAATTGCTAATGTCTTCTAGAAGTTAAAATATTATTTTAAAAATTTAGAAGTCTCTTAAAAGTCACAAGTTCTCAGTAATAGCTTATTAACTATACTGGAAAGGAGGACAAAGGAGATAACTAAAAAGGAAAATTAAAATAAAATTCATTCGGATGTGTGTGTGTGTCTGTTTGTTTCTGTGTTTGTACATCTTTAGGGTCTCTGGGCAGAAGAAATCATTGAGGAGCTTAGGCTTTTAGTAAGCCCAGCTAGACATTAGTCAGGAGTTGTTGAGTATTATAGCCAGAAGGGATCTTTTGTTTAATATATTCTATACTGTTAGAAAATAGAAAATCAAGAGTTATTTATTTATATCACCCGAGTGTATGGAATAAACTGAAAATGAGAGGATGTGCTCCCCATTTTAGGGAAGGTGGTGAGGTAATGTGGCATAGAATTAGCATGGGCATCCATGGGGTAATATCAGGAGTAGAGGACAACAGAGACATGAAAACATAGCTCACATTATGACATGAAGGAGGTAAGTGTCACAGTAACAATCCAAGACCCAGTTACTATCTGTGTGAATGACAGAGGGAGCATGACTAATTATGAGAACATATTAGTAATTACCAAGTAATTACTGAGAACCATATGGAAGGGATTCTGATTTCTTCCTTATCTGTGTTTCAAGGTTGAGTCAGAGAGACTGATACTGATTAACGTTACTGTGTCTGCCCTAAGCTCATGTGGCCTGGAAAAACCCAAGTTTCACCCAGAAATCATGTATCAGTGTAGCTGTTTTAGAATGTGGATGATGTATTTAAATGTAAATAATGCCCTATTCATATCCCCTTTAGGAAATTATCTTCCTGAATTCTGACACACACATACACATGCACACACATATACATGTGAATACATGTATATGTGTGTATATATGTGTGTGCATATATATGCATATATACATGCATAAACATTCATTTACAGCAGCATCTGAAATGGCAAATAGTTGCATGTGTCTATTAAACAATGGAATAACATACAAATGTTAAGAAGATGGAAAATGTCTAGGTACTGTTATGGACATATCTCCAAGAAACACTTTAACATCAAAGCAGATGCTGGACAGCAGTGTGTATTGTATATAGTCTTGTATTTTAAAATGTGAGGTAAGACTATTCTATATTTTTTATTCTTGTATATGCATAAAAGAATTATACTTAAGGGGACACCTTATACTTTAGGGGTGGCTTAGTTGGTTAAGTCACTGCCTTTGGCCCAGGTCATAATCCCAGGGTCCTGGGATTGAGTCCCACATCGGGCTCCTTGCTCAGCGGGGAGCCTCCTTCTCTCTCTGCCTCTGCCTGCATTTGCTCTCTCTCTCTCTCTCTCTCTGACAAATAAATAAGTAAATAAATAAAACTTAAAAAAAAGAATTATACTTAAGGAATTCTGAAAAAAAATCATTGTTCATGGAAGAGGTGAAAATAGGAATTAGAAGATGAGGGAAAATGATGGTAGACAAACTACATGATTATGTATCTTTTTAGTTTTTTTTTTTTTTTTAGATTTTCAACCTTATTATTTAAAAGTAAAATTAAAGTAATTTTCTCCATTTAATAGGCATGTTATTATCTAGCAGTGGGACTGAGGTGCCTCACACCCAGTGATATAACTACCTGAATATAGTAAAAGGATCAGATAATCTCATAAAGTCCATTACAAGTCAAATAACAGAGACTAAATTATTGGTCATCCATTTTCTCTTATCTATCCACATTGTACTTTCATGAGAAGAGAGATAGTAATTATGCAGATATCAGAAAGGACTCAAGTAAGTGATTGAAAACTTATGTAATGCAAATTTATTTATCCTACAGGAACACAGGTTACTCTTTCAAAATAATAACTTGAGGATAGGTTGCTCTCTTCAGAATTGTGAACTGAGTCATGATTCTGTTCGTACCCTCACAATTGCCATGATCCTTCTCAAATTGAACCCATAAACCTGCAGCCCTTCCAGCTATTCCCAGCTTCTCTCTAACATACTCTTAATCACAACCTTTCTATCCCTCTAACTGTTGTTGAGCCTTTAATCCCATGAAACATTCTGTTGCCTTTTCAACCAGGTGTCATGTAGAAAAGATGTTGAATATGTCACTATATCAAACATTAGGCTTAAATATATTGTATTTTCATTCTCTGACAAAGAAATTTTTTTGTGATCTGTTAATTCAGTTGAGAAGATGTATTAAGATAAAAAATTAAGTTATTTGTGATTATACATTTCACAATGTGCTTATTAGGTAGAATGAAAACAGTTAAGTATATATGTGGATTATGTGTGTGCATGTGTGTTAGTGTATATGTGTGTATAATTATGTAATTTTTTAGTTAAGCAAAACATTTCTTTATGGCTAGAATTCCATAGCTGGAGAATTCTTAAAGATAAGTCTCAACTATTCATTTTATTATCTTGGGAACTGAAACTCAGAATGAGTGAATGTGTACGTAGTCACAGACATAGTTACTGTAAGTATTGCAGCCAGAAACTGTGGTCTCCTTTACATTCGTAACAACGGCTTTATTGAGATACAATTCATATACCATAAAATCCATCCTTATAAAGTGTACGGTTAAGTGGTTTTTAGTTTTTTTTTTCACAAGGTTGTACAATCATTACCACTCATTTTGGAACATTTTCATCACTCCTTAAAGAAAATCCATCCACTAACTGACTTTGTATCCTTGGATTTGTTTATTCTGGACTTTTCAGATTAATAGAATCATGATATGTGGGCTTTTGTGATTGGTTTCTTTCATTTGGTTAAATGTTTTCATGGTTCATCCGTGTTATAACATATGTGATTTTTTTATTACTGAATAACAATCCATATTTTGTTCATCAGCTGGGGTTGTTGCCCCTTTTTGAGCTCTTATGAATAATGCTGCTATAAACAGTTTTGTACAGGTTTTTATGTGGCTGTATGTTTTCAGTTTTCTTGAGTTGTACCTAGGAGTTGAATCACTGGGTCTTGTGATAATTCTATGTTAACATTTTGAGGAAAAACTGCCAAAATTTTCCAAAATGGCTGCACCATTTTAAATTCCTGCCAGCAATGCATGAAGGTTGAAATTTCTCCGCATCCTCACCAGCACTTGAAATTGCCTATCCTTTTTTTTTTTTGTTTTTAATGAAGCCTTTTTGTATATGTGGAGTCATATCTCATGAAGCCTTTGATTTCTCTTTCACAAAAGACTCATGCTGTTGAGCATCTTTTCATGTACTTATTGGCCACTTGTGTATCTTCCTTGTTGTAATATATATTGAAATACTTGTCTATTTTTAAATTGGGTTATTTGTCTGATCATTGTTAAATTGTAAGTGTTTTTCGTATATGCTCAATACAAGTCCCTAATCACATATATGATTTGCAGAATTTTTCTCATATTCTAAGGTTGTCTTTCACTTTCTTTATGGTGTCCTTTGATACACACAAATGTTTAATTTTTATGAAGTTCAATTTATCTATTGCTCTGCTTTTGTTGTCATGTTTCAGGAACCATTTGCTTAATCTAAGGTCACAAAGTAATTCCTGTGTTTTATCCCAGAAGTTCATTTACATTTTTAAAATTCTTTCCCCAAAGGAGTTGATCCTGGGTAATTTAGCCATATGTTAGAAAATAAACAAAAAACAAAGAAGCTAGGAAGGATATGTTATATCTGTCTATATAGTAATTTTGTCTTCATTCATTGAACAAATCTATTTTGGATACCTGCAATGAAGCAAGCATGATATCAGGAGCTAGGTGCTTCTATGTAATAACTAATTTAATTTTATCACCTATTCTTTGTGGTAGGTAGTATGTATTATTTTTTTCCAAAAGGAAACAGGGAGATAAGTAACTTTTCCTAAGTCCCTGTGTTAAAAAGGAGTAGGGCTAGAATTAAAAAAGGCAGTCTGATTCTAGAGCCTATTTATAACCACGCCAAGTAACATAGTCATTGAGAACATAAATGCCAGAGCCAAGGAATTGCATGCTTTTGAAGAGTAGCTCCTGTACTTCCCAACAACTGGACTTTGAGCTAGTTAATTAACTTCTTTCTGTTTCCTTTTTTGCAAAGTGCAAATAATAACCATAATAGGACTGTTACGGAGAATTAAATATATTTAAGTACTTTAAGTACTTTAAACTGTGCCTGGGACATTATTAATGCCGTAAAATGTTAGTAATATCTATTTATAAATATATAAGTGATCATTACTCTCATGGAACTGACACTCTTTTAGAGGATATTGAGCTTGAATTATTAACCACATATAATTATGTAATTACAAATTTTGGTATGTTCTATATGTAGAAAAGGAAAAGAATACAATCAAAAGAAAACTATAAAAGGGATCAGGTAGTTCAGTGTACTGAAGTAGTCCTCCATCCTGTGCAATGGAGGGTAAGGTCTTTTTATGCTTGATGTCTCAGACGTCTGTGCCATAATTCATGTTTTAATATATGTAGAGTTTCAACATACCAATATATATATAAGAAGGAAAATTTTGATTAGGATAAAAGTGTCCCTGACTCTAATCTCAAAAGTAGGTCATAGCCTATATTCAGAAATACAAAAAAAATTCAGCACATGAAAATATTTCATAAGGTCATATTTCCTCTGTACTGAATTTAGTATAACTACTTCAGTTCCTTTTTAGAAATGAGGGTATAAATCATACCCATTAAAATAACATTCATAATTTCAAGGTAATAAAAACACATTTATCCCTGTAAATTTTAGGTTTTTGATCTTAGGAAAAGTCAAGCAAGTCACTCTCACTGTAGGGGAAGCATCCAGTGATTTTAAACATGATGATTAGAATTTGAAAAGAAATATTTTCAAAACACCTGGTTTAGGAACAGAAGGCAGGATAGTATTATGTGCAAATGAATGGGGGGCATTTTGCTTTGAGAAGTATGGAGAGCTTTCTCCCTGAAGAATAAGGGGGCTTTCTGGTCTCCTCTTTCCAACCAGATGGTCCCACATTTAAGCTTTCTGTCTGGGAAACAAATGAAGTCAATATTAGTCTTTAATAATTTAAGTAGTTTTTCATGTAATTCATTAAAAATAATAGAGATTAGCATCAACAAAATTTCCATGTCATGTATATTGTTACAAAATCTGTATTTTCTTTAATTAATAAAAATTCAGACAGCCATTTTCTCCCTTTTCACAGCCAAGCCCACACTGACCCGTTAATTATGCCAATAGAAACTCGTTGGTTAGAAGGGACACTGAAAATCCGAGAAAAAAAATCATAAATAGACGAGACAGAACTGGATAAAGCCATAGAGCTTTCATGATTCACCTGAGCAAGATTTCTTTATCCTGGGTCTGGCAAGAAACATTTCTAGAAGTTAACAAAAATAGGGCAAGGGAAATGTATATGTGTGTCTGTGTGTGTAGAAAGGGGAATATCCCAGGGAGCATGACTAATGACTCCACAAATAGATTGTATTTGCTTATATATGCTGGACGATAAGTAAAGCCTGAATTAGTTGCAGGCCAGCTGCACAGTTGCTCCGAGCACCGCTCTATGTAGAAAAGCTGAACAATCCACCAACATAAATAGGTGGAGGATATTAAAAATTTCCTACAAAGAAGGTTGGAAATTTCTCTAAATAAATTTTGAATTTTTCTCCCTTGGCTATCGGTTAGAGGGTATCTTTTTTTTCCCCTCCTCTTACCCAGTCCTATCACTACGACACACACCTGGGGTTTAGTCAATCTTGAATAAAAAATAGTATGACTCTTGGACATGGGCTGTACACTGGCCAAGTTTTGGCTAGGAAAAAAGACTTTGAGATTGACATGTAGGCTATAAGACTTGGAACACAGAAAATTACTTACAGAACTCTAAGGTTTACCTTCAGATGTGACCCCTTCTTTTCTCTAGTTTGCTATTCTAATGAGGTAGGAAAGTTGGATCTGTTCATGGGGTCCATCCCTCTGCCCTTTACCCCTTATCAATTACATACTCCACTGTCCCTTCTGTTATGGGTTTGGTGCTTTAACCTTGAGAATCAAGGAGACTTTGTAAACAATACAAATGAAAGTTCTTGAAAGATGCTGAGGGATAGGCATAGGGAAAGTCAATTCATCTGTTCAATTTCTAAATTAAATTTAGCTGGGGAATTCTGAAGGGCTGGATAAGCCATTACTTGTGCTAGGGAAACAGAGGGCCTGCTACTATGTGGGGGTCTGATCCTGAAGGTTTATAAATAGAATGGTACATTTTTAAAACTTTAGGAACTGGTGGAAGGAACAGAGAATGCCACACTCCTGGGAGACAGTCTTTCATGAATGATCAAGGATTGTGCTCCTTGTCTATATCTATGTTTTGTTGTTTTGTTTTGTTTTTTTCTTTTTTACAGCACTTTAAACATTTGGGTTTTTATTTATTTTTTTATTTTTAGTCAGCCACTGTATAGAATATCATGTTTTTGATGTAGTGTTCAATGATTCATTAGTTGCGTATAACACCCAGTGCTTATCACAACACGTACCCTCCTCAATACCCATCACCCTGTTCCCCCATCCCCCCTTAAACATTTGTTTTCAGTAAGGAAACATGTTCATCTTTCTTTAATCTTTAAGTCTGCTACACTGCAGTTTTGTACATTCATGCATTTTATTTTGCTAATGATCCTTCTTTAACATTATTTTAAACTTATCTCTAATATCCAGTCATGTTTATATTCAAATATCTTGTGTTTTTACTTTTTTGGCGCTTTATTTCATATTCTTAGTGTTCTCTGTCTCTGAAATGTGGAATTTTACCAATTTTTAAATCTTCTGGCTTTAAGTTTTTAACTTTATCTTGATCATTTATATGATTTTAAGGTATCATAATTCCTTTAAGGGTATTATATATTTTGCCTGATAACTCATCTGCATAATCTATCACCATCAGCATCTTTTAGGCTTTTATGTCTCTAATTTGTTTGTATTTATTTGGTTTTTAAACTTTATGTTATTCCTACGTCATCTCTTCTCATTTCCTTATTTGAAATTTTTCTCTTTAGTTCTTCTTTTTCTTCCTTATAATTTGGTTTGTGGTTATTGTGTCCCCTGGAAAAAAAAACAAACAAACCAGAAAACAAACAAAACAAAACAAACTTATGTCATA